CAAAGCTTTTGTACATAGGAAGGAGAGGAGGCTTGGGGCAGGGGGATTAAAAAAAAAAAAAAAGGATATGGGAGTGGTCAGGGATGGACATGGCCATCTACATTTGGGAATCAACTCTGTGCCCTGCTCCCAGACCCTGTTGCCCACACACTTCCATTGGATCTGGGCTTTCTCTGCTCCACTTCTCACTGCAGCTTCTGAGGGCTTAGAGGCCACTTGGGTTCTAGGGGGTGTTAATCACAGCACTAAAGTGGAATAAATCAGTCCACCATAAGATCTGTCTTGGCGGTATCAATTATCTTTAGAACTATTAAAATTACTCAAAAGTACTGAAGGAGCGTGCCTAAGAATGAAGGCACCCAGAAACAAATAGAGCAGAGAGGTAGAGAAACAGAACATGATGGAGTCACCTGGGTCCAGCTGTGCCTAAAGCTACCCCAGTCCTCTGTTCTACCCACTCAAGCTCCCATAGGCCCCCAGATCTCTAAAAGTATATATGACCCATCTTCTGTGTTCTCATCCCACCCCAGGCCCTTATTCCTCCAGTTGTCTGCATTTCCTAGCCTTCACACTACCTTTACTCGAGTTTCCCCTGGTTGCTTACACACCAGCTTTAATGGTAATTCTCAGGGACTGAGAAGAAATGACCACCCAGCTCACCAGGCCCAGAAGCCCCACAGTTCTGGCACATCTAGGATGCAGAGGCAGACCCACTGATGTCTGAGCATGGCTGACCCCTGGTTTAGTAGGGAGAGGGTTGGTGTGTTTTCAGAAATGAAGAACTGTGATGTTCTTCATTCTGAGAACCCTGGAGCAAAGCCCCATGACACCAGTTTGGGTAGCGGGCCAGCTGCTCAGCAGAGTGCCCTGGCAGGAGTGTACACTTAGCACAGTGGACCCTTAAACAAGACATAATGGTTCAGTCTCATGAGTTGGGAGAGAGAGGCAGGTCAGACAGGCAGGTCACTGGGGGCCTGACCTGAAAGGATGTACTCTTGTCACCGTCTCCTTTTTCTCTCTCTGCCTCCTGGCTGGGTTGAACAACTTTCTTCCCCAGGACTTTCTACCATGCTGTTTGTGCCTTGAAGCCAAACATGGACTGAACCCACTGAAACTGTGAGCCAAAATAAACCTCTCCTCTTTCAAGTTGACACTGTAATGTATTTTGTCCTAGCAACAGGAAAATGACTAATACACCAAGGCCAAACTGGCAAGTGTGCCCTTGACTTCCCGTGTGTGGCCACCTTGGAGCTCTGTTGAGGTGATCCAGTGCAGGAAGGTACTGCCAACTTCTCATTGGGTCCAGCTCTTGTTCTGGGAGGGCCAGATGCCACCGAGCCTGCCTCAAAGGCAAGGAGGTAATCAGGGATATACTTAGTAAGGGAGCTGATGATAGGAGTCTGGGAAAGGAGCCAGGAGAATCGTTAACTACCCTGGACAGATTGACCAGAATTATATGTCCAAAGGTCTGAGCATTGTGGTATGTCAAGAAGGCTGTGGAGGGCCAGGGATTTAGCTCAGTGATTCCGCCACCTGCCTTGCAAGCGCACGGACCTGTGTTTGATCCCTGGCACCAAAAAAAAAAAAAAAAAAAAAAAAAAAAAAAAAAAAAAAAAAAAAAAAGAAAAAGAAAAAGAAGGCTGTGGGAGACAAAGGACTACTATCTAGAATATATAAAAATAACTTTAAAAAATCAGACCCCCAAATTATAAAGACCCCATTTAAAATTGGGCATCTGAAATGAACAGGCATTTCTCAAAGAAGTAAAAGCAGCAAATAAACATATGAAAAAATGTTCAACATCACTGGTCATTCGAGTAATGCAGATGAAAGCAACACTGAGATTCTACTTCACCCCAGAAAGAATGGCTAATCTCACAAAATCAACCAATAACAAATGCTAGCAGGGTTGTGCAGAGAAAGGAACCCTTCTCCATTGTTGGTGGGAGTGCAGACTGGTACAACCACTGTGGAAATCTATATGGAGATACCTCAAAGAACTAGGATTAGAGGTCCCATTTTTTTTTTCATTTTTTTGAGACAAGGTCTCATGTACTTGGAACTCAATATGTAGCCCAGGCTGGTCTTAAACTCACAGTGATACTCCTGCCTCAGCCTCCCAAGTGTTGGTTTTACAGGCATGCGCCACCATGCCCGGCCTAGAGGTCCCATTTGACCCCACTATTCCTCTGCTGGGTACCTTCCCAAAAGAATTAAAAGAATCATGCCACAGCGATATATACGCACCCATGTTTATAGCAGCACAGTTTGTAATAGCTAAAACTTGGAAACAGCCCAAGTGCCCATCAACTGGAGACTGGATAAAGATGTGGTTTTTCTATAAAATGGAGGGAGTACTACACAGCCATAAAGAACAAGAAAATAGAGACATTTATAGCTAAGTGGATGCACATTGAGGCCATACTCTTCAGTGAAATAAAGAGGACACGTGTAAATACCAAATAGTTTCTTTGGTATGAAAAACTAAAAGTATAAATAAGGGTCAAAATGTATAGTAATGTGAAATAGGGGGAAAAGGTCTAAAGGAGTAGGGGAAGTAGGAGGGGTAGGGGAAGGAAAAGAAGGAAAAAGAAAAAATATAAGAAAAGGAAAAATGGAAGTAAAGTCTTTATAAATAGGAAAGGGTGGAGGGGGTGAAGGGAGGGCTGGGGAATGGTGAAAAAAATAAGAACCAAGATACATCATATAAAGGTACAAGATCCCAGTGATGAATGTGACTGTATTGTATACCTAGAATGTACCAATAAACTTAATGGGGGAGGAAAAAAAAAGAAGGCTGTGGGAGGGCTGGGGATGTAGCTCAGTGACACTGTGCCTGCCTGGCAAGCGCAAGGTCCTAAGTTCAATCCTTAGCAAGAAGGGAAAGGGCTTTCACCATAGTCTCCACAGTCCAGGGAAATTTAGGTGCTTGGGGAATGGGAACAAGGAGGTAAAGAAAACAAGCTGAGCCCCATGTGGTGGCACATGCCTTGCTGCCTATAATCCCTGCACTTAGGAGGCTAAGGCAGGGGTGAGTTTGAGGCCAGACTGGGCTCCATAGTGACCTTAAGCCCAGTCTGAACTACATAGTGAGACCCTGTCTCAAAAAAACAAAACAAACAAACAAACAAACAAATTCCCAGTACCAGAAACAAATAAATAAGCAAAAGAATAAATAAGGAAAAATGAGAACCAAGATCTGTCATGTAAAGGTACAAGATCCCAATGATAAATGTAACTATACTGTATACTTAAAAAGTACCAATAAGCTCAATGAAAAAAAGTGGAAAGCAAGATGTTAAGAAGAAAAAGAATAAGTAAGGGCTGGGGTTATATTGCTTCTACCTCTTGGATTTGATCTAAAAAAAAAATAAAGATTTTCAATAAACAAAGCACATTATTAGGTTGTCTGGTGGAAAACTGTTTGTTTAGAGTACACCCTCTCAAGGTATTTGATTGTTCAGGTTGATGCCTGTTATTTTCTTTCAGCTATTTTACTATGTATTTGTAGATAACCAAATAACAACACAAACCATTCTTTTTTATAGACCTGAAAGTAAATTCTGTCTTTTTAAGGTTTAATTGATTTCCCTTGGCTGGTAGTGGAAAAAGCCACTGCTAAATTACTTTCAAAAGGGCCTTATTGTGATTCTTTGACTTCCTTAAAACCTGGCCTCCCATTATAATGATTTTGTGTCTCTGAGCCAGGTACCACCCCGGGCCATGGTGCGGATAGCAAGTTGCCCCTCTTGCGGGAGGGTGGCTCACTAGGATTTGTCAACTTCATGCCAAAAGAAAATTAGAGATACAAAGTTTAAGGAAAAGAAGACAGTCTGTTGGATGCTTTATTGGAAAGGAGGAAAAGCAGGAGAGATAGTTAGCATGATAAATCAGAGTAGGGAGCTCCAGAAAGATAGATAACTCAAGGGAGGGCCTTTTATTCTCAGCTGCTTTTTATTGGGTATTAGGATCCTTCCCCTACCTAGGATTTGTTATAATTTAAAAAATTTTATTATTATAATTTTTGGTAGTGGGGATCAAACTCGGAATGTTACACTTGTGAGGCAAGTGGCAGCACCTCTGAGCTAAATCCCCAGCCCCAATTTTAGTGCTTCTTTCTGGAGTGGCTCTTGCCTAGCTAAGAGTATGACTGTGTCCTATAGACTTAAAATAATTGTCTGGAAACCAATTATATTTTCATATTTGTTTATTTAACTCATATTAACTTAAATATTAATTAGCTATATATATACATATATATATGTATATATATACTGTGTTTTAAGTGGCTGCCTCTTGTCTTTGTAAAGTGGGGAGATACAGCTAGGCTGATTTGATTAGGGCACCTGCCTGGTTTATCAGCTTTTTTTCTTGTCTTGTTAATTGCTTTCTCCTTGTCTTGTTAACTCTTTCTAGTCAGGACTAGCCAAAAAGCTTATTGAGGCCTTTATCCTATTATTTCTCTGTCTGTCTCTCTGTCCCCTTTCCCTACAATGACTAATAAAATCTACCATATGCTAATGATGTGTTGGTCTAAGAATGAACAACCAAGAACCTGTGGGCCAGACATGCATGAGACAGGAAGTCAGCAGGAGAGAGAAGAAAGAATATTTACAGAAGCAATGGTTGAAATACCCCAAATTTGATGGAAATGTTAATTTACACATTTAAAAATCTGAACACATCCCAACTAGGACAAAGAAAATCTACCCCAAATATAGTAATGCCTCGGTTCATGAACTTAATTAGTTCTACAATTTTGGAAAAGATGGCTACATTTATGTTCATGTGGGAAAAATAGATGGCTGTGGTTGTGTTTGTCATTCGATGTAGAATTATC